GGATGAGAGAGAGACAGAGAGAGAGAGATATTGCTGATGATCAAGTCCTCAAGGTGAATCATCTGTAATTACTCACGTCATCCACTGACTGCGCTCCGATAAGCAGCCTGCCCTGGGAGACTGCTGCTCACAAATGATTTCTCATAATGTGGCAGTGGCACTGAGCCCTCTCACACACACACACACACACACACACACACAAACAGTCATTCACATTGATGAAGAGGCCGTGGCTATTGGCCTACTGAGACACAACGTGCTCTGGTCACAACAAATTAAGAGCTTAGCCTCCCCAGGATGTTCACTCCGGAGCCACCGACTAGACTGACAAGTGTGTGTGTGTCTGTGTGTGTGAGTGCGTGTGATCCAGATATACTGTTATCTGTCAGGGAGGCAGGCTGATTGCTGAGCATTGTCCAGGGGGCTTAGCCCTTCACAAGACTAAAGAGTGTTAAAGATTACATTGTTGCGTGCTTTGAAAGCTTTCTTCAGCAACAAACCAACACCCCAGACACTGGCTGTGCATACAAAATAGAATTAATGGGCACATACAAAGTGAAGTCAATTTTTCATAGGAACCAACAGGGGATACAACTGTATTGCTGTTTTTACCATGATTGATGCGTATTGATGTTGATGATGTTTAAAAAAAGTTTTTGCTTAGCTAGTTATTATTTACAATGTGGAATTTGATGCGTTCAACTGCAATGCTGATCTACTGAAATTCAAAGTTAAAAAAACATAATTGAAACTTATATTTACTTCACTTCAACTAACAGTCAACTAAACTGTCAATTGTGTAACGTTTTTAACAGTAATAACATTTTTATGCTTAAATAAAAACATATTTATGTTACATGAGTCCTTTATGTGGAAATCAATATTATGCGACGTCAATGGGACTGCTAAATCAGCTTCCCATAAAAGAAAAAAAACAAATTAAAAGAAAGAAAAATGAAGAATTTGTACTCTACTGTATGTGCAGTGAAATTAGCCTTCAGAGGCTTAACCTCGACGACTGTGTAAGTCTTTTATAAAAGCTAAGTAATAATGGCATTGACCAAACGTTTGTATTGTGATGAAGAAGCTTGACATCTATAGAAAAAAGCCAGCCGTCTCTCTGAATATACTGTCTGACATTCACATCTCACATTCCAGTTCTCAGATCTGGAAGGAGAGGGTGGCGGAGGTGGGGGCAGACACAATATAATGGCATGGCTTTTTATATTTTGGACCAGGTCCACCACTTCAGTCAGCTTTCTTTTTTTTTTTTTTTTATTTATTTATTTTTTGCTCTCAGAGTACAGACTGCTGTTTCAACTTCTTTAGTCACCCAAGGGCTCTTAAAGCCCCCCGTGCACTGCTGCCACCCCATCTGCGAAATCAGCCTGACCAGCATAAAACGCTTTCCCTGCCCCCCAGAAAGAGAGAGAGTACATAGAAAAGCCCATCCATAAACGAGGATTAACAGGGCAAGGCAAGGGACCAGAGAGGAGGAGGTAGAGGAAGAAGTATAAAGTGTGTTATAGTTACTTTCTTCCAAGACCAGCTGATGCAAACCATCTGACTAGAGGGTGTAAGTATACGGTATGGCAATATTAAATAAAATACGCCCATAGTATAGTGACTAAAGTGTGCCAACTGTGCATTAATATTAAAAATATTAGACCTTAGTACAATAAAAAAGCCACAAATACCAAATTAACATATGTCCCAGTGTAACAACTACACCCCACATTTGAATGCAGTGCAGACGTGGTTCTCTGGAATTAATGGATGAATCCTTCAGGAATTGTTGCTGATGTGTCCTTGAGCAAAGTATAAACAAGGATTAGCAGGGTGAAGCTTGGAGCTGTTCATAAACAGGAGGAAGAAGAGAAGGTATGAAGTGTGTATTCAGGTCTCTCTTTGGTAAGACCAGCTGATGAAATGTCCTCTGACTGATATGCTGCAGTTGTCGTGCCTGTGACCCCACTGACCTCTATGGAGCCCAAAGTGTAAGCTAGCTCTGCACTTGTTGTGGACACTCCGGTTTTTAAATTTACCCCTCTCCAGCTGTAGAAGTATAATGGACAGCTGTAAATATACGTCATATGAACCCTGTTCCTCCCATGATCTTTATTTTAAAGCCCTGTCTTGTACATTTAACATAGAGTAATCTATGAAGAATTAAAAAATAATTTAAATATATATATAATTATATCCTCAACTCTTTAATATTATTATGTAGTATATAATGTTTGTGTTAAATCTAATATTTATAAATTTATTGATATAAATATTCAATTTATTTAAAGCCAAAACCAATCCAAAAAAATAAAGCCATTATTGTTAAAACCTTGGAATAGAGGATGCTCATTCTTAGCCTTGTTTCCTAAAACGCAACTAGTCTTGGTATAAATGTATTGTTACTTTATACTGGCCCATATACTGGTCCATTAACTCCCATTGACCTGTGCGGCTTTGAAGTGGGTGAACTGGTGTGCTGACTCTGTGACTCTGAGACGTGCCTGTTGCCGTAGTTTTAATGTCATGAGCAGCTCAAGTTACCACACTCCATTTTACTGTCCCTTTAGCTGCTTCACTTACCTACAGCACAGATCAGAGGAACCAGGGGCAAGATCACACCAAATTGTACCCCGACTGTGACCATCAGGGGTCGGGGTCAGAGGTCACGAGGACTGGTGTAGGGTCCTAGTGTTGTTATATATCAATTAGAAGGCAGGGAGGTGGAGTTACGCCCCCTCTGGAGAGAAACAAGGGGGTGGCTGCAAGGCCTTTATTTATCCTGGTTGACATACAAACAGTTCTATACTTTCACAGTGGGAATTTCTTCTGCTGGTGGCAGAGGCAGAAAGTGAGAAAATGGGGCCCGTGAATTAAAACACAATCCATACTGACGTAATTTAACATAATCTGGAGCTTAATTGTCCAACAGTGTCACTCTTATCTGGCAATATGGCTGCTCATGGACATGCTAGAGCTCTGATCCTGAGTCTGTGGTGGGGTATTTCTTCATTGCAGTGGCTGCAGACTCACGGATTGCTGTAGTACGTAGTGCCACTTCATTCCATTCAAGTGATGCCTTCACCGGACAATAGAGCACGTCAGTCTCTCCTTACCAATGCTGTTTTGGATCTGGAGCTAGATAATTATGTTGAGACATCCTCTGTTTATTTTCTCACTCTCTCTTCCTCCTTGTCAAGTGAAGGACAAGAAAACAACTCTGAGCTAACTAACCCAGGGAAGTGATTCAAGGTTGGAGGAGATCATTCTTATGATGTAATGTTTGGGGATGGTGGAAAGGAGGAGGGTAGCGCCATGTAATAGATGCTATCCTCCAGAGTGGGATCCTCACATCATAGCAGAGGTCTCATTTACTTTGGGGGAGACTTGCTTAAGTCAAGTCATCTTCTCTGGAATAGGATATAGCACACCCAACACACACAAACGCATACAGGCGCATACACACACCTGGATTTGATTTTAAAAACGTGTGTGTTTGTTTATGTTTCGCAAACTTCAGACCCCTCCCAAAAACAGCTTCGAAATTTACAGTCGTTTTGAATTTAGCCAAGTTTGCATCATATTGGTTGACATAAAAGTACATAAAGGGATAAGATATAAAGCCTGCAGCTTATATAGACATCTGCTTACAATAACTGTGTAATATAAACTTTCATGCCGAAACACAAAGGCACCGACACACACAACATGCTCATACACAGATAAGCAAGTTGAACATCGTTCATATCCACAAACACACATGCCCTCCACCTTCAGACCACTTGTTCTGTTTGAAACCAATTCTGCCAGAGTAGTTTACTTTTCAGGGTGAGGGAGGGAAAATTAAATCTGGCACAGTGAAGTGTAAGAATAATTTCCTGAATAAGTGGAGAAGCTCTTGAAGCAACGAGACAGGGTAGGCACAATCCAGAGTAGACACTTAGGTCTGCTCCATTTACATTTGCTCCATCCTCTTGAGTTTTTCATTAGATGGCAGATCATAGAGAGTGAGCAAGAAAGACACTGAACTAGTGTACATGTGTGCTATTTGTATTTTATTCAAAACATTAACTTAAAAACTTGAATACATTAAGTTTGGCCACATTGCTGTTTGCCCCTACTGTGTTGTAACTATGACATACAACATGGATTCTTAATGTACATTTTCTCAGAGGTCAAAATGTACAAACAGCTCTGTCTTCCATAAATTGCTTGTAATTAGTTTTTGAATAAATGCTATTGTTGCCTGGATTATGTTCATGTACAATGTCAAAATCTAACACATCCGGTCCACTGCTTCGAGTCAGCATTACCTTTTTGAATATATAGCCAAGACCAGGATCTTACTCGAATTACAACTAAGGGCTTTGAAAACAATAATCATGCTTTACACTGCTACAAACAGAGAGGGAGGAAAAACAAATGAAATATGAACATTTGGCAACTTTACAGATACTTTCATTTAAACGTTTTTATCATTCGTGTCATTAAAAAACGTAATTTATGCAACATTTCATTTCCCTTATAACTTATTTGATGTTGTTAATTAGAAGTACATAAATGTAATTTCTAGGAGACAGTTCAGCAACATATGCTGTAGTGAAGAGTGTTGACACCTTCTTGACAGGAGTGACCTATTTTCATGTATTTTTTGGACAGAATATAAACCTATATATTTCTGTCTTGAGTATTTTTAGCATGTAATGTTTCCATTGAGTATTTTTACAGCAGTGACAGATCACATCTGCACAAAAAGGTTAGATTCCCATTTGTGCGGCTTTCATTCCTGGCAGAAAGACATTTAAATTTGACAAAAGAAAAAATATAAAGCTGAAGCAGATTAGGGTGCCTTCTTTTCATTATGTTCAAGTGAGTACATTGTCTTATCAACCGTAATGTCACCAGAATCACTAATCATAGTGGCCCATTGTGTCTTCCCTCTGCTTTCTGTTGTGTCAAGGTCTATCATCAAACCTTTCTGCATGTCACCACATCGTTATTTCTACATAAATTCTGAGTAAAGCAATTAAACTTGTGAGCAGAATGAGGTGAAATATTAAGTTTAGCTTCACCTCTTTATATTTAGCCCCACTCAGTTTTGTCTACTTTTCCATGTTATTGTTGGACCTATAGAGAGCTTGGACTACACTCTGATGAATGAGGTGACGCCAAGGAAGGCATGACGGGGGAGACTAAACACCAATGGAATCTCTCCCCTCAATTTTCCCCTCACTTTATCTCTCCCTCCTTCTTCCTTTTGCTATTTTTCAGTTCTATCTCTTCTACTTTCTCTACTGTTCTCTCCTGCTCTTTTTCCCTTATTCTCCCTCTCTCTGGGGTGTTTCATTAACTTTACTGTGAGATGAAAAGCAAGTGGCCATCCTTCAGCCTGAGAGCTCCTTGAACACCAGACACTCATAGATGTGCTTTACACCCAAACGCAACACACACACACACACAGTCACACAAAAACATGTAATAGAGAACCTAGACTTTCTTAGCTCGTCATTAATTTCTGTGTTGGGGCTGAAAGCACCTGCTGTGTCCGCCTGCTATGGGACTTTAAACATTTCACATGAGCCTTATGTGAATGCATATGTGTGTGTGGGTTTATGTTTCCATTATTGCTTGTGTGAAAGGAGCGATAATTCAGTTTCCACTTACACAGAAAGTGTTTCTTTTCCCTTGTCTCTCTCTCTCTCTCTTTCTCTCTCTCTGAAGAAAGCACTGCTCACTCAGGCATACATCCATTCTGAATTTCACGGAGAGAAAAAAAATAGAAAAAGCATCCATTTATACATTTAGGCCCATTCATTCTAATGATTGTCATTGAAATCACAAGAAGCCCAGTGTTTCAGGTGTTTGCCCATTCATCATCGCTCTGATTCAGTGTTGATTTGCCTGGACAGCGAAGCCAAAGCACATGATCAATGAGTCTTCCCGCTGTGTTGAATTCAAAAGGAATGACCCCGCTTTCTTTTTTCTCCTCTCCTCCTCATTGCTTTCTCCCAGTGGAGGGAAAATGTAAGATAGACACGAACGTTCCTGGTATACACTCACATCTGTCTATACTTCGTAGCTTCTTTTGTTTCATAGTGGATTCAGCACGTTTCCTTTAGTAGCCGTAGTACTGTGATGCAAATAACCAAGACTGCAGCTTGAAAGTCCTCACTTGTAGAGAAAAAAACATGTTAGTATAAGGGTGGAAAAAAACACTATAGGATTTTGCTAATATTTAACAGCAATTAAGCAGTTTCACACAAATTTAGTCGGATTGAGATGGGAAATCACACTTTTCTCTGAGATATTTTCACAGTGCTCTAATCTAGAAAATTTGGCAAAGGCAGCAAGTTTGCTTTTAATTAATTTGAGTAATTTACAAGAGATCTAGTAGTGTGGTTTTTCACCCTTAAGTGTTTATTAGATGCTTAGTATTCAGCAAGAGTGAATCTGAAGCTAAATAATTCATGTGTAAATGCTTACAGGGTGGAGATAACTTTATTTTTCTCTCTATCTTCCTCTTCTTTCCTCTTTCTTTCTCCTCTGACTCCAAATTCTTGCCTTACCCCTCTTTGACTTTCCAATGCTCGCTTGCTCTCTGTCTCTTTTATTTTTCCTGTCTTCACATCTTTTTTACCTAATCTTTTTCATCACTCTGTTCATCCCACCTTTCCTTATAACTCTGCTTCTTATACCACCCCTCCTTTGCACCCCTCCCTTTTCTGTTTTTTCCTTAAAATGTACTCCCTTTTTTCCCCTTGTTTTTGCTTCTCTATCTCTCTTGTCTCTTGCTCCTTTTTGTCTCCCTCTATTTCTTTCTTCCACCTCTGTCTCTCCATCTTTTTCAGTGGGAGGAGATCAGTGGGGTGGATGAGCACTACACTCCCATCAGGACCTTCCAGGTCTGCAATGTGATGGAGTACAGCCAGAACAACTGGCTCCGCACCAACTGGATCCCTCGCCAGTCGGCCCAGAAGATCTACGTGGAACTGAAGTTCACCCTGAGGGATTGCAACTCCATCCCGTTGGTCTTGGGCACCTGCAAAGAGACCTTCAACCTCCTCTACCTGGAGACCGACGACGACCAGGGCAGCCACTTCAGAGAGCACCAGTTCTCCAAGATTGACACCATTGCCGCTGATGAGAGTTTCACCCAAATGGACCTCGGAGATCGCATTCTCAAGCTCAACACTGAGGTGCGCGAGGTGGGTCCCATGACCAAGAAGGGCTTCTACCTGGCGTTCCAGGACGTGGGCGCCTGCGTAGCTTTAGTGTCAGTGAGGGTTTACTTCAAGAAGTGCCCGTACATTGTGAGGAATCTGGCCTCCTTCCCTGACACGGTGCCCATGGACTCCCAGTCGCTGGTGGAAGTGAAAGGCTCATGTGTCAATCACTCCAAAGAGGAGGAGCCTCCACGTATGTACTGTAGCACAGAAGGGGAGTGGCTCGTGCCTATTGGGAAGTGTCTATGCAACCCGGGGTACGAGGAGAGAAGCAACACCTGCCAAAGTAAGAAAGCTCTTTTTCAGTCATGCATTTTAGTTCTCAGTTCGCTCATACTTTGTCATCATTTCATTCTGTATGTTGACTACTTTTATTCTTATGTAATCTCTCATTACTCTTCTTCACCTATCCCATCTTGCAGCTTTCAGCAAAATAGATCAGATTTTTTTCTGTCTTCTGTTTAAAATATTGTGTGATAGAATGCAAAGTTTGCCAGGGCTAAAGTGTTCAAAGTGTTGATGAGAAGACTGTCACACTTCATATCTGTCAGCCCAGAAATTTGAATGTCTCATGCCCAACCTCTGTGTGTGTATGTTTGTGTGTGCATGTGGATTGTGTATGTGTGATGCCTTCAAAAGAACCCAAAAATCCCACAACGTTGGTGCATAGTTTAGACGTATATTTCCATGCATGTGTGTGATGTGTTATCCAGGTCTTTGAGCTACAGGGTACAGCGTGTAGTAGTCCAATAGTAATCTTCTCTGTGACACATCATTAGCCATGGGAAGATCTTAACCAGGGTAGCAAGGATGGGACTGATAACGCAGAAGAAAGGAGTGGGCTGGAGTGGATGGTGAATAATGGAATAGTTGCGGTGATGGTTGTGGGTGTTGGTGAAGTCATGAGTGGGTAGACATTTGAGTCTGGAGATACTCAATCTCCCCCCACAGTCGCCTTTGGAAGTGGTTGAAAAATTCAGAAAGTATATGTCTGCATAGCTGCCTGACTTTGCCTTTCATTTTCAGACTGTCTGAAACATCATCATCACACATGTTCTGGAGGGCGACTGATTTGAGCCATTGCCAGTTGGTTATTGGAAAGAATCAAAATGTCACATTGACAGTTTTTTTACAGACCTGGACTGACACATTGCTCTTTGAAACACTTCATTTTACTTCAGCTACTTTGCCAAAAATATTAAGTAATAGAATTTGGGATTTAGTAACCAGTGAGTTAAGATGTTAATTCTCATAATGAGCCTTTCATAAGCGCATAGCATCCTGATCCACAGTATAATGGGTAATGTGTAATTCTTTCATATTTTTTCATTTGCATTTTTTATATACACCTTTTTCTTCATAATGGGTTAGTATGCACGCAGACATACCTAGATAGACATAGACATAACTAGATAACTGCAAAATTACATTTGCAGTGTGTGGCTTCTGTGGCTAGTTACAGCTTTCATCACTTACAGTTTGTATCTGTACAGTAGCTCATCCAGTGCAGCAGCTGCATAATAAGTGTTTTTGTAGTGTCCTGTGTTTTTGGTAGAAAGTATTCCTTCAAATACATTTTATCTGTAAAAGCACATGATGTATTTAAATACCATGGTATATCATCTAAAATAACAACATTAGTGGTGTACACTTGCTTACTTCATGATCCACTGGTTTATGATTCTATATTTTGTTTGATCATGCCAATGAGAAAACTGCTCGCAGTGGCTTTGGCAAACGATACAGAAGCTCCAGCTGCATGTACCATGAAACCCCACCTTCTCTTTGTTGTGGCTGTTTTCTGTGGTCCATGCATTTCTGGATGTGCTCCCTTTTTCTCAGTCTCAGCGAGCTCCTCACTCTGCTTAAGAAGCCAGACACAGCATCTATTTGAAAGCAGGCACCTCTGCACTGCGGCTGTTCCAAAATGACTTTAAAGTTGAAACAGTGTTGGAAGTTCGAAGAAAAAGCCGTCTGTCTTTAGCTCTCTCAGTCCTACAGTAGTTATTGGAGCTGACCCTAAATGCTCCCATGTTCATCAACTCCTCTCCAGAGCCATGCCCAGTGTTAATTAAAGATCAAAGGCAGTCTCCCAGGTCAAGCCCCTGCTGTCAGGGCCAAGGGAAGCTCTTTTTCTGGGGCTGTGGACTCCAGACGAGTCTCACTGTCCAGATGCGAGGAGAAACTCTGCCGCAGCTGTCAGATGAAAACCTTATATGTAGAAAATGTAAACAGATTTAGAAAGGGGATGACTGAACAAAAATGAGGACTAGCATGAGATATATATGTGCTGGTTAAAAACAAACACTGTGTCGGTGCCATTTACTTCTGAACCTTGTTACTCCTGATTAGGGGTGGAAGGGGTGTTTAATATTAAAATAATATGAATACATTTAAGTGAAAATAAACTGTTTTGTTATAACATCCACAAATTTTGCCTTTTACCCCAAATTTGAAAGGATAGAAGTTATAGATACAAGAATGGGGCATTATGTAGACAAATGGCAGACCCCCTGTCACCCTTCGTACCACCCTCCTTTCACTTCCTGTCGCCCTGTGAATTGTGTGAATGTTTGGATGTATTTGACAATCTCTTATTGGTTTCAGAGAGGTCTAATGGACTCTAATAAGGTCTTATGTTACCCTGGAGTGGGACAGCTGCACCAGCAGGCCCCCACAGCCCCCGCATGCAGCCGTCAGGGGGCCCCCAGCACGCAGCCCACTCTTCAGGCCCTCTGTGTTAACAGATAGTTGAGTGCATTGGGTTAGGTCACCGTACAGACAGATAGCGAAAAAGATGAAAACCTATTTACAGTGGTACAGCCAGATAAAACAAGATGAAACAGATGTCTAAAATATGGTTTCCCTTGTACTTACTTGTACTCAAATTGGGCCCCAAAACCCATTTGAACATATTTTGATCCCATGACTACATCCAGAAAGAGTTATTATTAAATTAGCTGTCCATTCGAAGAAAATATACATTCTATAGTTGGATACATTTCCCTATATTGTTGTTTAGTAATTTAGTAATTAAACATACATGCTCTCAAGCAGTGGCACTTAGGTGGATTTAAGACCCACAGTGAAGCGTTTGTTGGCCTCGACTGTTAGCTCTGAGTCAGAAGTGGATGGAGCACCTTTGCTGAATATTTTATGCTTTGTTTTCGTTGACCGGAACGTTGAAGCAGCATCTTCCATTTACCCAAGTTTCTGTTCTATGAGTTTGTGTGTATGTGTGTGTGTTTGAGTGTGTGTGTCTGTGAGTGAGAGAGGAAGAGAGAGGGAGTATGAGAGCAGTTGCCTTTGTTTATACAGACTCCAAAGTGTGTTTAAGGGCTTTAATAGAATACACTCTAGTATTAGACTGTCATGCTGGTTTGTGTATGTGTGTGTGTGTTTCTGGGTGTGTTTCTGTGTGTGCAAGTGTGTGTGTATGTGTGTAAGCCAGAAATGTTTGTGAAAGCAAGGATGTTTTTTCAGTGGCGCCTTCAAACGAACACATGAATTCTGTCTGGCTTTGGCAATGGGACGCCATGTGTGAGCTGCTGTTATGAGAGCGTTTATGCATGTATGGGAGTGTGTGCTTGTGACTGCAACATGTCATTGAATATTTCACAGCATACAGTGTATATTGCTGTCAGCATATTTAGATATTTCATCATCCATATCAGAGCAGAAGATGTTATCGGATCTTTTGTCGCAGTGAGAGGACATGAAGCTTTTCAGACTGTACGAGGTGAATGGACGCGTCAGTCATCATCTGGATTACTGTATGTTTTGTGAACAGGCTTCGGCCTTTCCACAGAGAATGTGAGGCCAGATCTAATCTCACTAAGTCAGTCTTTCATCTGTCATTAGAACAGACTGGAGCAGGTGAACTAACTCCTATCTACCATCAGTGTGAAATTCCTGCAACCCTAATTTGATCCTAAAACAGCAAACGGATGTCTGTCGGTCAAGTTCGAATGTGTGTGCGTGTGTGTATGTGTTGTGCAAATGCAAGCAGCTGTTCTGCTGTACGTTGAGGAGAGCCACAGGTTTACGTTCTTACTTGATTTATCAAGACACACAATCCTCAAACTTGCCAGTGCCATAATGCTTAATATGATTACACATATGCAGTAAATCCATATACACAGACACAGAGACACATATACTCAAGCCTACTTAAGTCCTTGTTGCTGCCTCTTGCCTGGATTATTTAACATATCTTATTATAAGTGGAAGAAGAGAGATGTACTTTATTTTAGGTTCTAATATATCATTTAGAACTGATGATACATGCTCTAAAATGATTTGTTTTTGATTACTGTAATGATCTCAGCGTTTCCAAATAACAGGGCTTTCTTTCTCCTTGTTTACGTCCTCTCATTCTTCCCTCCCTCTCTGTTCCCCCTGGTGGCTGATGGTCTTGGCTGCCGGTTCAAAGCCCGCCGTCCATCTCATGCCGAATGTTTTATATCACTCTCCACTCTCCCGCTTAAGTGATTTAGCTGCTGCCCTCATGCTTGGCTTTCAAGCAGACACATTACACATCTTTCATTGTCTTTGTCACGCAAAACCTACATCAACCTGACCAATGAAATACTCAATCTTAGGTCCCTGAAATTATTCAGCGTCCCATTTTATAATTGATTTTAAGCAAAGTTGTATTCAGCTTCGTCAGTGAATCAAATGACTCCCTGTAGTGCCATTGCTAGTACTGCCAATCCCAAAAATGTCATCTTATCGTTGCTGGTCCTTAGGGATGATGCAAAATGCTACAGATCCTGTGTGGCTGGTGAAGAAACTCATTTAGCATTTAACTTTCTAAAAACAACCCATATACTTTTCCCAGACCACAGCAGAGCTAAAATAATAGTAAAATAAGTACTATATTGAACAAACATTCATAAAATAGTGAGGAAGAGGACTCCAATGAAATGCCAGTGTTGCTCTGTTTATGCTGTTGAGTCTGTTAGCCCCCTATCAAGAAATCCTTTAATGCAATTCACTGTTTATTGTAAAAGACACAGATGATATCCAATTAAGTCTTTGATTTAAATTATTATTTTTTTTAAATCATCAATGGTGTTTTTTGTTTAACCCCCAGGTATATTAGTTTATTAGTTTAGGCGGGATTCCGATCATTTTCTGTGTGCCACAGTATCGGTATTGACGGTAACCATGATATTTACTTTAAAAGTAAAAGAATAATAATAATAATATAATCCAGATTTTTTTATGTGCTTTTGTACAGTTAAGTTGACAGGCTTTTTCCTCTTCCTGGCCTGCACTTGTATT